CCAATCCGTGATTTTAGAGAAAAATTTGAATTACTTGCGATGGCTAAATTGTCCTATAATAAATATCATGTATTTTTTTACCAATGAGAATTCGAGAAAATGTAGGCGTGGCACTACAGCTCTACAGAATATTATGCTGAGAATATTATGGACTGACCATGGAAGCAATAACAAAGTTTTAGAGAAAATAGAAACTGAAAAGAAAAGTTATTCTTAACATTGGACAGAGGCAGTTGAAATTTCAAACGGAAAATAATTATATTATCCGGTTGTTGAAATATCAAATACAGGGGACCTGGGAACCCTAAGAAATGATTTTAGGAAATGATTTTAAAGATTTCAATTGGCGGGAATGATAACTTTTCGGTCAAGGAATCCCAAAACTTCCTGTATGAAAACGATTAGTCTCAATATTATCATAGAATGCTTTATAAATTCTTCATTTCCTGATTGTGGTGGGTCTAAAATATATGACAGATGAATATTTGCGAGGCCTACAGTTAAATGGCTTTCCCTCGAAGACAGATTCACCTTTCATTAATTCTTCCAACCGAATCATCGCTATTTGTTTCATCATTTATCCTATTCGCTTCTACTGTTCCATTTCCTATACACGCATTGCTATATATATATATATATATATATATATATATATATATATATGTGTGTGTGTGTGTGTGTGTGTGTGTGTGTGTGTGTGTGTGTGTGTGTGAAAATATATAGAAAATAGGAAAGAACTGGTTAGGTAAATAATCCAAAGTTCTTTAGTATTTTTGTTATTTTTTAAAAATAGTGCTCGATACAAAAAAGTAGAAGCATAAATATAATTATTTATTTAATAATATGATTCAACACGCTACATAAGAGGTCTCATGTTTCAAAACAAGGCTCTTGTTTTGAAACATGACACCTCTTATGTAGCGTGTTGGAATCATCTTTTTAAATAAATAATATATATATATATATATATATATTTTTTTTTAATAAAAGACAGACCACGTTAAGATTCCATGTAATAAGCTATTTCACCATAACCCCTTTAACAGGGTTCTGGATCATCAGACTTTACTTCCAAAAGCTGAAATGAAAAATGAAAAGAAATTCACACGTTTTTTACGGACCTCATCAAGTATACGCAAAGTTAACGAAGTGAGGAAGTGAGGTGGGAGAGAGGATATAAGTGTGTCATATGTATCATTTTAGTTTCCTATTTTAACCCCAGTGTGTCGGCTGGATGTTGCTCAAATTTAACGCGTCTCGTCTCTAGATAAAGGTGGCTAAGGGGTGAACGATAAGAACTACATTAAAGGAAGACGTTACAACAACCCCAATAAATTACACGACAGGTTTCATTCAAATTCTTAGACGCTGTCAGTTCGCGTTACTTTAACGTGCATATTTGGGAGGTTAAGGTTTGATAAATCTCTAAATTTTAAAACAATCTACGAAGGAATTAATTTGAAATTCGGTGGAGTTTTGGGTATTTTCTCTGAAACAGTCGATTGGAAAAATCCATAGACAGAACATTGAAAGAGCAATCCATTTTATAGTTAGTAATTTTTTTTTTTTTTTTCCACTAAAACTTTTATCTTACAGCTTGTTAGGTTGACATTTATTCGTTTGATTTTTGTTCATTAAGTAAACTCGTGATTGTTTTTGATTTTTGTTCATTAAGTAAATTCGTGGTTGTTTTTATGTACCCAATTATCAATAGTTATTCCCATTTAAATAATTTTATTCACCACACTGGGGTAGTATCTTTCAATCTCAATTAAAATACCAATCTAAACTTTCCCTTCGTGCTATTTAAAATTCACTTCCAATTGGAGAATATTAGAGTAGAAATTTGGAAGAGATGTCACTAGCAGAAAATTAGGCCCTTCTTTTACGATTTCTTATCTACACATGTCTTAAACCTCTATTTGTAACCACATTCCTATATCTTCTTATATGCCTATGAGTTCCTATATACACCTACACACACATTCACACGAAACGATATATGTATATTTCCATCTTTACACATATACACCTGCAGAGAAAACGCACATTCACATGTCTCCATACATATCTCCATATATACCTATACTTACATATATACATATACACACAAGAACATCTGCATATCCATATATATTCATACGCACATATATATATTTACACATCCATACGTATACACATATACACATACATACACACACCCATATATGCATGCATACATACATACATACATATACATACACACACATATGCATATGCATACGCAATATGCAGAATATCTACATACCCACATATGCGTTAAAGTGCAAATTAACGCATATGTGGGTATGTAGATATCATTTCAGCTTTTGGAAGTAAAGTCTGATGATCCAGAACCCTGTAAAAGGGGTTATGGTGAAATAGCTTATTACATGGAATCTTAACGTGGTCTGTCTTTTATTCAAACATATATGCTCTGAATTTTACATTGAGCTCTCTGGATATCATCCTCCTCAGTTCTACCCATACGGATTACCTAAATTTGCATAAACTATATATATATATATATATATATATATATATATATATATATATATATATATATGAAATGGACTAGGTACGACAATTATTTTAAGACATTTTCTATGCTTATACGTTGTTTTTATAGACACAAATATTTAAGTAAATGTGCGTCCTCCGACAGGAATCAAACCTCTATCCTATATAGCCAGATGTATTTTACCGATTTGCCCACAGAGGAGCGTTTCGGTTAGCTAGTTTGATTTTACTGTTTTTAAACTACAATTTTCTATGATTTTCTCTCGTATATTCATATCTGCTCGAAGCGTATCCAAATGTAAACAAATGACGTCACACATTTTTATGTTAAAGACGTCCTTTTTATAGATACAACTATTTAAGTAAATGTTCTGTTTATAATAAACAGTATTAACAACATTTATCAGCCGTAAAGAATACAGGTTCGATTCATTTTGGAGGACGCATATTTTCTATGACAATTTCTCGGACATATTTTCCCGGTAAATATTGTTAATACTGTTGATTATAAAACAGAGCATTTACTTAAATATTTGTATCTATAAAAAGAACGTATAAAGTTAAAAAATGTGGTAATATATATATATATATATATATATATATATATAATTCAGCCGGAATTCTTTCCTCGCTAGAAGCAACCGGACGTCTAGCTACACTGATGAGCTGTGATACAGCAAAACAGTCTGTCAGTGGTGTGGATGACAATATATATGGTCCTGAAAAATTTATTTCGCTTGAGCTCTCTGGGGAAGAAGTGTGAGTTTGTAAACAGTGAATATTGCTGCTAATAATACAAGACTATTCGTTAAAACGAATTGAGTTCTCTCAGTCACTCTGTGTTTATCTAAAAAAAAAAAATTAAAATCACCTTTATCCCTATCGCGCGCCAAAGGTTTAGTGGAAGAATCTCCGACTGACGCCATTTCACTCGGGTTTCGATCCTAGCTAGATGCAACCGAAAAGCGAAAAGTCTGTGGGTGACAATATGTATATATCAAGTTTTTTGTGTTTTTTTTAATTAACACAAGATAAATGAATTCTGAATAGAAACCCGTACTTGGGTTGATTTGTTTTCAATAATTATTTTTTTTAGTTTTTTCATAAGGTTGCTGGGGACGTTAACATGGACGCACCTTACGGAGTGCAAATGCTTTCGAATGGTTCAATCTCTATTAATAATTCCTTTAAAAAAATACAACACCTTTTCGTAAATCAAAATACGTCAAATTTGTTTTCTGCATACATGTCTAGCAAAGGTCATACTGAGAAAAAAGCCATCGATCTTAAGATAAGTGGTCCAATAGAAAGAAAGAGAGCAGTGTAAAAAAGTAATAACCATCGTATAATTTGATCGATAGCACTAAGACATTCAAGGGGAGATAATTCTATTTCTCTTATTCAATGTTACTTTTTTTTTCTTTATATTTACTTGATTCGTAGGTATTTTTTCGACTCCTGGCCAAAAGCGACAGCAGATATGCAACTTTCAAAGTAATTACCCCGGTTCTGAACTCAAAGATTTGTCCTTCAAGAAGGAAAAAAAAAAACTGAAAAAAAAAAAAAAGAATGGAAACAAATCACAAGAACACAATCATTGGGACACTGATATTGATTCGCGTATCGATCAACACGTCCGCAAGCAAAGGCAGGTTAAGAGTGACTCGCAATTTTCAAATCTACAAAATTCTATGAATGCTAATCGTGTTTTAAATTCCTCAAGGCATAATAACGGTGCACATACGCAGACGCACAAACACATAGGCGTGCATACACACAAACAGATATATATATATATATATATATATATATATATATATATATATATATATATATATGTGTGTGTGTGTGTGTGTGTGGTGTGTGTGTGGTGTGTGTGTGTATGTATGTATGTATGTATGTATTTAAATGTGTGTGCGTGTGTGGCGAAGAAAAGGCGGAAAATAATCTTTTGTATATGTGCGCAAAGACAAACTCGCATATATCTGTATTCGGATGTGTAATTATATAGTTAAATTTTCTATCGTTAACTCGTTCAAATAGATAGATAGATAGATAGATAGATAGATACATACATACATACATACATACATAAAGGTTGTATAAGTGCGCTAAGTGTGTATGTCGTTCTGTGTTTGTATGAGTGCGTTTGTGTCTTCCTGAGAATAGATATTTGCTTGTGGACAAACAAAAACTCACACGCATATACCAATATATATATATATATATATATATATATATATATATATATATATATATATATGGTGTTATGGATAAATTTTACCGTTTAACATATGTTTAATCTCGCACATGCGCATTGCTTGTTGTTGTTCTTGCCTACTGCACATTATATTAGGGTCAGTTTGTAAGAAAAAAGTCCACGATGACGCAATTCCCTCCGACAAAATATTTGTTAACGGCATGTCGTACTACGGGGCATTCGCGTCGGAATATATATATGGTTAGATAGATAGATAGATAGATAGATAGATAGATAGATAGATAGATAGATAGATAGATACTGAGATAGACCGATAAAGACAGAGATGCATATAATGAATAATCTGAAAGAGATATCAATGCGTATATAGAAGCTAATATCCATGAAGAGTGAATGCATTACAACAATGCGATCGTGAAACTTCGAAGTCGGCATGAATGAAATAACAGCACTGACTAACATGTTTCTCTACATCAATTATATTAACACTCTATATACACTGTATGTATATACAACATCACTACCACATCACATCTACTATTATCATATAAACCCGTCATAATTATTAACGTAAACTACCCCCTCCCCCAGCATAGTAAATACCACCATAAAAAATAACCAATAAGGATTACAAACCAAAATGTCTACCAGTTACATATACACAGTCATCAAAAACAAGCAAATAGCGTGCTTTAAAATAATAACAAATAAACCTTTTTTTTTTTTAAATTAAAGATAAAAATAATAGTAATTTTTACTTATCCTAATTTTACACAGATCCCACCACACGTATATACATACATGCGGGGAAATATTATTCAGTGGAAAAATAGAAAAATGCTCTGATTGCTGACATGTATACATTCACGAGACATTCACGAGAAATTTTCGCTACACTTTCAATATTTGAATTTTAACATACAAATGCTTATGTATAGACACAGCACCACCCATATACATACAAATATCAAATCCGAAACTGTCGACATATGTTTATATATGTATGAGTCCCGACGGACGAGCAAGTGTGTATGTGTGTCTGCGTACCTCATCGGGTGTACGGACATGCATCTATGTTTGCGTTAGCACGATGACATCACGACGACGATTGCCCCCCTCCCATAATAACACCAATACACGCAATCTACATAAACCACAAATTTAAAAAAATTAATCAGTTTGTCTGACGATCGCAAAAGCGTGAAACCCAGGTTCACAAACTCACATCAATCCAATCAAATATAATATATATATATATATATATATATATATATATATATATATATATATATATGTATGTATACATATATATAGTGTGTGTGTGCGTGTGTGTGTATGTAAGGAGAATATAACGTAAGTTTCTATAGATGAGAAGGTGTGGTAATTCACTGACAATGTGGGAATATTCTCTGAAACACATGGCATCAGCCTTAAAAGACTTCATCCGACTAACGCAACGTTCTTATTGGTTGAATTCTATATATTTATCCAGTGGATTAGTAAACCTCTTTTAGAATTATACGCCAAGAGGAAACGCTGAAGATTTGGGACTCTAAAGAATACATTTTTTAAAATTTTTTTGCGCCCGAAGTATTTGGACACACGTCCTCTTAGATTTTGCAGACTTTTTTTTTTGTTGTTTTTATCTGTCTTATTCTTAAATATCACAAAATGAGTCATAAATGGACTAAAATATGTCAAATGTATAGAAGCTAGACCCATATTTACCATGGATGATTTAGGAATCAATGCCGTTTGTATGTTTTCGTTTATGTAAATTGCTTTCTCGCTTAGTCAAAGCAGGATTTTTTATCGAAATAATGATCAGATTCCTTATAGAATGCATTGAAAGTGTTGTTTTGTAAGCTAAATTTTGCGTTCATATACTTTTTTTCAAATTCCTCGAGGTCTTACCTTTTTTTTACAAATTCCTCGAGGGACCGCCATTTTTTATTCTAAACCCTCGATGTCTCACCATTTTATACAAATTCATCGAGATCTCACCTTTTTATTTTAAATTCCTCGAGGGACAGCCATTTTTTATTCTCAACCGATGTCTCACCATTTTATATAAATTCCTCGAGGTCTCACCTTTTTATTTCAAATTCCTCGAGAGACCACCGTTTTTTATTCTAAACCCTCAATGTCTCACCATTTTATATAAATTTCTCGGGCTCTCAACTTTTTTTTTTTCAAATTCCTCGAGGGACCGCCGTTTATTTTTTATTTTAAACCCTCGAGGTCTAAGTTTTTATTCAAATTCCTCGATGTCTTAACATTTTTTTTTCAAATTCATTGAGGTTCCGCCTTTTTTATTCTAAATCCTCGTGGTCTCACATTTTTTATTGGAACTCCTCGAGTTCTTACCTTTTTTTTATCGAAAATCCACGAGGCATTGCTATTTTTATTCAAATTCCTCGAGGTCAAACCATTTCGACAAAATCGAAAATTCCTGAAAATCAAAGCATGAACCTGAAAACTCGAGTTTCTGTTTTTAAATATCCTGGTCAGATCAAGACTTTCCAATTGGATGCCATGATTGTCACGAAACACTTTCAGCAATTTTAAAACTCTCTCTATAAATACGTAAGCTGTATACAATAACTTTCTAAGATCTATGATTCCTAATGGCTTTCAGCGATTGACGAGGTCTTGGTGAAGACCAGACTTCGGATATTGCAGACAGGCGATAAAGAATTGCAAACAAAAAGAAACGGCTGAAATGGAAAGCAAATGGAACACGGAGGGACATATTGACATCATTAATATTTTTACGTTACTCACTACTTCGAATAAAAGGTTAGTAAACCTTTATGAGTACTGGAAAGATTAATAACAGATACTTGACTTGAGAAACCTATTTTGTTTTAATAGAATGTCTTTATGAATTTCAGCCAACACCAAAATTGTCAGTAGGGTCAATGAAGGAGATTGTATATTGATGTGTTTGTAGAATAAATTTGCCTAGCAAACAGGACACACCAATTAACTTTTATGAATTATATATTTTACATATTCATGATCTTGTGTAGTTAATTTATAGTAAAGGGTGTTCCAATAACTTGGACCGATTTTAAACCTGAATTAAGTTTAAGCGTCTAATGATTTTTTTCTTTTTCATTCAGATTTTTAGAGATATTTGAATTTCAACCGACAGCGATATGGGAAATTGTTGCAAATTTTTGTGTATATATGTACTAGTGAGCTATTCCAAATGGCTTGACTCACTTTATAGTCCACCAATAGTAGGTTAACCAATCAGAAGACATAAAATATTCAATCCGTCGTTTATAAAGGCGGCCATTTTGTTTACTCTCTCCGAATGTCCAACTTGTCAGGCGAAAGGAACAGAAGGAAGAACTACTGAACAACGCTCTGCTACTTTACTGGGATATCCACTGCTAACCTGAACAACGCTTCCTACTGTCTTCTGAAATATTCAGTCATCGAAACAAGAATAAACTCTGGATTTTTTTCTATACTTTCAAAAATGACTTATTTCATCAAATGAACAATTAGAACAACAACAATGTTGAACTCGAATTTCATTTTTTTTGTTGTAGAGTTGGTGTAATGAATAATATTTCATTAATTTTGATTATTAAGTTCATTCCTTTAATTTCCAAATTCATAAATCAAATTAATTATCTACTACAAAAAAATTTTAAAAGTTAACCTTATCCTCAAATATAACAAGAGACCAGCAAACTCAGAGTTACAACGAACGAAAATTATCTATGAGTTCAAATGCCCGTTAAGGAACTGTGTTCCTGATCAAACCGAATTCATATATAAATCCATCGGTCACACGACTACATGACTATTCAGACGCCTTACGTTACACCTCTTCGACCAGAACTCTATTAGAACCCATTTAAACACACACATATACTTACCAGACTTCATCCGAAGCGTGCTAGTAGAAAATGCAAACATAATAACCTCATAAAAAAAAATCATAAAAGATATTAAAAATAACGGAAGCCTTAACAATAAAAAGAAAAAGCCATCACTCAATAATATTAACTACGAACACGGCCCCATTGTGCTGTGTTCGGAAAATTAAAAAAGATCTCTAGAACTATACATACAACATATACACTCAATTAAAAAGCAAAAATTAAATCATCCTTGATAATGGCTAAAATATAGTCGAAAGCATTTGCACAATTTCTATACACCCTGTGCTCACCAAAAAAGAAAACACTTGGTCTAACACAAGAAAAATTAAATAAAAAGCTTAATCGTAGTACCTTGTCTGTCGTCTTTAATTAAACATGTATCAATGAAGGATTGCTAACTAAATACACAATATATATATATATATATATATATATATATATATATATATATATATATATGAACAATCCCAGCAAGATCTATCTGCCACATTTTTATTAAGAGTTTACAACTTGCGACTACGTTGTTTTTATGTCAGATTTAAAATTGGCAAGCTTTCCAAAGTTCATTTTTTTTTAAATCGTGTATTTTTTTACTGTTATCACTGTCTTTCTCCAGAATTGTGTGATCAATCCGTTTATGAAAAGGTGTTTTCCAATATCCGGCGTACCCTAGTTTGCTGGAACCATTTTCTAATCCCTTATAATTGACGTCATTTACACTGGCCAAACTGAATTTTACACAAATATTATTTCATTATACAGATAGGAAATTGTATATTGAAGTGTGTATAGAATGAATTTGCCAAGCAAACAGGACACACCAATTAACTTTTATAAATTATATATTTAACATATTCGTGATCTTCAGTAGTTAATTTATAGTAAAGGGTGTTCCAATAACTTGGATCAATTTTAAATGTGAATTAAGTTTAAGCGTTTAATGATTTTTTTTTCTTTTTCTTTCAGATTTGGCAGATATTTGGGCGATATTATTTTTCACACATAATTTCCATGACGTAAATAACATGATCCAATAGAGAATAAATAATTTTTTACCCGTGACACTGATTTATTTACTGCTGACTTTGATCCGTCTTAATGAAACACCCTGATATATAATCTGTCTTAATGAAACACTCTTTATTAAAAAAAAAAGAAATATCGTAATCTCAATAAAATATCTTGTACAATTCTACGACACACACATACCCACACATATATATATATATATATATATATATATATATATATATATATATATATATATATATATATATATTACTACAGAGTTCTTTCTATATACATTTTCCTTTTTTTCTTCGACTTACTTCTGCCTGCTGCCGAAATACTTCGATATCGTTTGCGTAGGCGAAGTTGTTTGAAAAGGACTTGATTGGCTATTTTATGAGCATTCGGACAGTCAGATTTCTTCTTTTTTTTT